CCGGCGGACACCGGAGCTCCGGGGCCTTGCTCCGGCCTCCTGGCCGCTCACCGCTGCGGCACGGGCCCGGCGCAGCCGCGTTTGCTTTGCCCTCCTCGGCCCCGGGCTGAGAGAGATCTGGACGGGCGGCCTCGGTCTCCTCAGGCCTCGCTTGCCACTTGTTTTTCCTAGCTAAGCAAAAGGGAAGCCGAGCCTTAACTTTCCAGAACTGGGCTGTGTGGCATGATTGCCTGCTCCTTGAAATTGCTCGGGGACTCGTCCCCTGGCTGCATTGCTTGTTCACCTTCAGTTAACTCTGTCAGTGGAGCTGACAGTACTGCAAGAACAGATGCCTCGGTGGGACTTTGCAGGGCGGCGTTACACCCTGTCAGTGGTAGAAGTGGAAAGCAATGCAGATGATCTGTGTGGGTGTTGTGTCTTTCCCAGTACACCTGTACCAGCTGGACATCACGGTGAAGCAGGGCCGTAACAAGGTGCGGGAGATGTTCATGAAGAATGCCCACGTTAGAGACCCACGGGTGATAGACATGCTGGTTATTAAGGTACAAGTTATTCCCACCTTGCTGCAGCTGCAAAGGATGTGAGAGTGGATAACTGGTTGCAAGTGTGATGGAAGAGAGGGGCAGTCCTATAGATAACTCTATCTACAATCATAGAATCACTTTGGTTGGAAGAGACCTTTAAGATCATCGAGTGTATGGTTAGACTCGGGCTCCAGCTGAGAACTAGTCTAAAATCCTTTTGTCTGTGTGCAGGGGAAGATGGATCTTGAAGAAACCATTAACGTATGGAAGCAGAGGACTCACGTCATGAGGTACTTCCACGAGACAGAAATACCCCCACCTAAAGACTTTCTGTCCAAATTCTATGCGGGCCACGACCCCTGAGAGATTGACTCTGTGTCTTCCTGCCTTGTATCACAAATAAAGTTCTATACAGTGGAAAAAAAAAATCTGTAGAGAAAGATTGAGTAGCATATGAGAGCCTAACGACTCGCTCTGTGGAAGAAAGAGTGGGCCTCTGCAAAAGCTGTGGCAGTCACAGAAATACTCTTGTGCTTGAGGCCCATCTGTATCCCTGCAGTGTTCTGCAGTTTCATGCTGTGACTTTGCTTGGCCTGGTGATTTTCACTCTGACACTAGTTTCTGTTTACTGTCTCAGAGAATGGCGTAAAATCCAATAGGCAAATAAAGCCCTTTGTGCAATAAAAAGATCAGCAGAGTCTGTTTTCCTGCTGTAAAATTGAATTACCTGGAAAAAAGGGAGTCTTGTACTCTTGTCTAGAATAGCAAGTAAGAGCTTCCAGCACCTAGCAGGAGACGGTGTCTCACCATCACCTCCTCAGCTGGACCAGGAATTGCCAGCTCCCTTTTGAGAAGGGTGAGGGGAATTTGTTCTTTCAGCGGTCAGAACAGGTTTTCAGCAGGTAACTCAGTGCTGGGGCTCCTCATGCAGGATGAGCACTGAATCTTTTAGTACACTCAGGCGTTTTCTCTTTGCCTAAAAAGGCTGTCCCCCCCTGAGGCCCATGAAGCAGCACTCCTCAGGGGTGTGTATGATGTGTTCCTAGGGGCTGGACCCTGCAGGGGTGAGGTGTTTGTAAGCACAGGGTTGGCACAGCCGGGAGGGCCCAGGGGAGGTGCCCAGACAAAGCAGTGATAAGGAATTTGGCACTACAGAAGATGGGAGCAGGGACAGGTCTGACTCCCAGAGCAACCACTTCTCACAGAGCTCTGGGGAAGGGGTGGGCAATGTGGGACAACACTCCAGCTCCTGGGGCCACTCGGCCTGCAGGCTCCCTTTTCTCTCAGTAGCTGCACTGGGTGTCCCAAAGCAAACAGCAGAAGCAGTGCCCAGTAATGGGGGCACACATGGCTGTTTGAGCTATACACCTGCCAGCAGGTGCAATGTTAAGGGAAACAACAGCTATGTGAATAGTGAAGGGAAAAGAAGGCAGTCAGTGGAAAAGGTCAGATCTAGTGACCAGAAACCATGAGAGAGACACTGGGGCAATGCTGGCTTTAAAAAAACATTAAAATGTAACTAACCTTTCAAGGTATTTGAGAAAAGGGCTGGTCTGATGTGGCAGAAGATACTATCTACACATGCCCTAGCAGCAGAGCAGACCTTTCAGTCTGTTGTGCAAGAATTTAATTGCAGTACTAAACACTTCTATGAAAAAGAGGCGTTGAAGTTTATACACAGTTAAGAAGATAAATATATTAGGGCTCCTGCAGAAGGAAGTACTGAACTACCCAAGAAACACTGGGTTCTTGGAGCCAGAGTGTTGAGATTTTTCACAGTTCAGAGATTAAATGCTATAAAACACATCAGTGAGATAGTTTATGACTCGTGATCTTAACCTTTTAACAAAGCTCCTCAGAACTCTTACTCTGGGATAATACTGATTTAACCCTCAGTGAGGTCTCCCTCAGATACACCTGCTAGGCTGTAAATCAGCATTATCTGAACTGCCCTGGCAGAGTCAATATGCACCCCGTTCTTTTAGAGGGGCTGTGGTGGGGGGCTGCTCCTTCCTCTAGGATCCCTCTCAGGTATGAGACTTTAGTCCTGAATTACAGAAAGGGCTTGTGAGAGGAAATAAATAGAGACTCCTCACTGGAGCAGACATGGAGGTAGAAAGGTTGGGACAGAAATGCTAAGACACAGGCACATAATCCATAAAAACACGAACCCGAAGTCATGCATCTCAATCTCTTATCTTTAATTAATTGTTTCCCATATCCCCAAGCAGTCTTTGATGAGGGGAGTGTGTGTGTGGAAGGACACAGGGCCTGTCAGCACTTCCTTCGACCCCGGCCTACAGAGCTCCACCAGGCAGACCTGTGCAAGACACTCCCTGGCAAAGGGGATGCAGAGTCCCGTGTCCCATTTATGAAGGAAGAACCAGAGGTGACAGATGTTGGAATCATGGCTTTGTCAATGGTTTTCTCCTTCATGCTCTTCCCTTAAAGTTCTGCAAACAGAATAATAAGCTGTTACTCCTTAGACACCCTGTTCCGAGCTCCAGCCCACACCCACCCCTGCACCACACGCCACGGGGGGTTACAGAAGAGGAGTTTCTAACAGGCCTGGCACTGGCACCCTTCACAGTCATTAAATTCCTTGGTTTTACTGTGCAGTGAGTGCTGGAAAATCCCTTTATCAAATGAGACACACCAAACTGATCATAAAGCAGCACTATTTACAACAGCTTCTTTAAAGCAGCTTCTTTGTTGTGTAAAGAGTCCAATGCACCCAAACTCCAACCTTCACACGGGGGCAAGGCACACAGAGTAAGGCAGAGTGGTGGGACGTGCAGCACAGTACAGGGTGCTGCAGACAGAGGGGAATTATTCCTGTGCTTCCTCTGTCCAGCGTGTCTGAATGGTCCAGCTGCTCCAGAGATCAGTGTTGTAAAACCCACCAGCCAGTTTGCTCTGATGGGTTCTGGAATTCTCTTCAATTGTTCACCTCTGTATCATAATTTCATACACAATTCATTCTCTTTTAAAATAGTAGTTCTGTGAGACAAGACTTCTAAACAGGTAAACATGGCTAATAAAATCACAGAATCATTTAGATTGGAAAAGACCCTTAAGACCAAGTCCAGCTGCAAACCTAAAACTGCCCAGCACTAAACCATGACCCCAAGCACCACATCTACACATCTTTACATACTTCCAGGGATGGTGACTCCACCACCTCCCTGGACAGCCTGTTCCAGCACCTGACAACCCTTTTGGCAAAGGAATTTTTCATAACATCCAATTTAAACCAACCCTGGCACAACCTGAGGTTGTTTCCTCTCATCCTATCACTTGTTACCTGGGAGAAGAGACCAGCCCCTCGGCTCACTACAACCTCCTTTCAGGGAGCTGTAGAGAGTGATAAAGTCTCCCCTGAGCCTCCTTTTCTCCAGGCTAAACAAGCCGAGTTCACTCAGCTGTTCCTCCTGAGACTTGTGCTCTAGACCCTTCAACAGCTTTGCTGCTCCTCTTTGGACATGTAATGTATCAACAGCAAAGTCCCCCTTTTCTGGCTGCAGTAGAGCCTCACTGATTACCATTTATTTGTGATTCAGATTACAAGACCTAAACCACCACCCGTTTCTTCCAACCTCTGGCAAATGTATGTTGTGGAGATTTCATATTCACATACCAGTCTGGCCTGCTCCAGTAGGAAAGTACAGAAAAGTTTGTAGCCAGAGGCAGAACTGCATCCCTGTGTTTAACTGCAGATGTCTTCCTCAAGCTGTTGCTGTCTTTATTGCCCAGTCTGAGATTCTCCTCCCCGCCCCAAGCCAAACAGGAAGCACGAATCATTAGATAGCTGGTGATGTGAATGACCTACCCTTTAATCATCGTCGTCATCATCCTCGGGGACAAAGATATCGTGTTCTTCAAGTAGGGCTGCGAAGTTCTTACTGATCTGCGTCCCCACGTACAGGAAAGGGATCACCACGCTGAACACTCTGAGGAGGCCGAAGGGCGTCTGCAAGGCAGCGGTTGGGAAAGGCTGACGATTACCGGCAGGGGGGTGGCCTCGGGAGGGAGCACGGGCGGGTGTCGATCCCCCTCACGGCGCCGGGCCCG